GACTCTGAGAGGGACATGAGAGGGACACTGACTCTGATAGGGACACCGACTCTGAGAGGGACATGAGAGGGACATGACTCTGAGAGGGACACCGACTCTGAGAGGGACACCGACTCTGAGAGGGACATGAGAGGGACATGACTCTGAGAGGGACACCGACTCTGAGAGGGACATGAGAGGCAGACCGACTCTGAGAAGGACATGAGAGGATGGCCTCCCCCGCTGCTCTCTTCTTATTCTCCCTCTTCCTGTCTTGCTTTTCTTCTTCCTCTTCTTGGTACACTGCTTTATGTTCTTATTTCACTTACTTTTCCCTTCCTTATTTCCTCCGTGGCCCCCTTACTTGCCAGGCCCGGCAGCGGGAGAAGATGAATGAGGAACACAACAAGCGTCTGTCAGACACGGTGGATCGCCTGCTGACCGAGTCCAATGAACGACTCCAGCTGCACCTGAAGGAGCGAATGGCGGCGCTCGATGATAAGGTGGGTTTCTGGCTCTGCCTCATTGGCTCCACCGACAGCCTCGCTTTGTGAGCTGCTAGTCCCGCCTCATTGGCTCTGCCGACAGTCTCGCTCTGTGAGCTAATGGCCCGCCTCGTTGGCTCCGCCGACAGCTTCGCTCAGTGAGCTGCTGGCCTTGTCTCATTGGCTCTGCCCACAGCCTCGCTCTGTGAGCTCAGCCCACCCTATTGTGATTGGCCCATGACTGGCCCCACTCACTGGCTCCGCCTACAACCTGTCTTTGTGTGATGCTGGTCCTGTCTTAGCCCCGACCCTGTCTCCATTGGCCTATGACTGGACCCACCCACTGACCCCACCCACAAAACCTGGCTTTGTGGGCTGCTGGCCCCAACTCAGCCCCACCCTGTCGTGATTAGCATGTAACTAGCTCCATGCCCTGGCCCCACCTACCACCCTGTTTAGCTTGTCTTAAAGTTTGTTGATGTTTTGCAACATTGTAAATACATTTTAAGCTCAGACTTCCCCTTCAAGTAAATTCAAATACAGTGGTACCTCAGTTCTCATACTCATTAGAACTAGAATTTCTTAAAAGTCGAACCAACCAGTTTGAAAAAAATGACCTAGAACTCAGTCTGAATCTCAGAAGTCGAACTGTGAACGCCAACCTACAGTAAGATAACTTGTACGCACAGGGAAATGAATCCCGCGGCAACAAAGGGTAACGCTTCAGTCTCAGTCTCGTATTCGCTGTGATTACACTAGCTGTGTTTACACTAGCTGTGTTTACACTAGCTGAATACATATATTTAGACAGTAAAAATACATTTAGACAATGATAGACAGAGTAACAGTAATTATTATTATATAATAAAATACATTAAAAAATAAAGATTTCTTATTAATTATTTTAATATCATTAATTATAAACCATTAATACATTTAACTATAATAATATTGTCATGCCGAGCGAGGACAGAATGGAGACAAAGGCGCAGACATCAGGGTATCGGGGAATACGGGGTTTAATTACAGGTAAGGCAGGCAAAACGCAGACGGACAATACAATGACCGGACTGGGGAAACAAACTGAAACTCGGACGAAATACAGAGGGCTAATGACAACAACCAGAAACAGCTGATCACACGGGTATTCCACACGGGGTTAACGAGGGGGTGTGGCACATGGAAGGAGCGGACGATCGGGGCATGACACATCGTTTTTTTTTTTACTTTACACATGGATGGATACATTTATTTTCTTACTGTTTTGATAAATGTGCTTAGATGTGTTTAGTACAGTATATGCTCTTGTTTTATCCTGTTCATTTTGTGTTTAAATGCTAAAAAAATATATTTAGATGTAACTTTTTTGGGGCCAGGAACCAAATAATTGGTTTTCCATTACTTCTTATGGGGAAAATTCGATCAGAACTTGAACTTTTTAGGATTCAAACCTGAGTTCTGAAGGGATTAAGTTCGAGTTCTGAGGTACCACTGTATTTAACTACACAAAGCAGCAGATTTGTAAGTCAATTAACATTTAAATGAATGACAAAAAATACCAATTATTTATTCATACAATTATTCTAATGTTAAAATATACAAATTCCTTACACTGGTTGAAAGTCATCATCTTTTTGCAGTCGTCTGGGTTTTTGAGGTTAATTAGCCTTTAATGAGGCCTTGAATTAATCACAATATTAAAATCACACAGTGAAAGAGTCAGTATAATTTCTCAGTCGCGTTCAATCAATTTTGTGTCAGCTGTGGAACAGGGTGGTCAAAGGATTAAAAACAACATGTATTTATGCTAATAAAAAGTTTTATTGATGTTACCCTCGTGAATAAATTAGTTTTGCCATTAATCCTTAGTTTGTTGATCACAGCGTAAGAAATGTTGGATAGATACCGATTTATGCAAAAATGTGAAGTACCATCTGTAGGGGGAGGTACAGTGGTGTAACGGGTAGCGCTGTTACCTCACATCTGCCGGTGGGGGTTTAATTTCCTCCTCCACCTGGCTGTGTGGAGTTTGCATGCTCCGTGTGTGTGTGTGTGTGTGTGTGTGTGTGTATGTGTGTGTGTGTGTGTCCCGGCCAGGGTGTCCCCCCCAACTTGAACTGATTAAGCAACTCAGTGATGGGTGAAAAGAAGCATCTTTACCTGTCTGTTAGCTACCAGATGTAAAATATGTCATCGATAATGATGCTGGCTCTGTGTCCCCTGTCCTGCTTTAGAACACACTTATCCATGACCTGGAGAACTCGCAGAAGCAGCTGGAGGACTTCCAGCACACAAAGGTATGGAGGGTTGAAAAATGGATGGATGGATGGATGGATGGATGGATGGAATAAGGCAACTAATACTTGTTTTTTGTGATATTGGAAGAATTGTGTTGTTTCTTTTAGTTAATTAAAATGAAAGTTTTTCTGTCTTTAAATTATCATAAATATGCTTATATTACACAGTTCACAAGTTATACTGTTAGAACATGTGTTTTGTAGGTCAGTGTATTTTGTTGGCATGTTTGTCGGTCTGACCCCTTCCTTAAGGTTACTGTATCATCCTGGTGTTTCCCGGGCATCTCCATGACGTTTGCTGATGTTTGGTGTATCCTGTGAGCAGGAGAGGCTCCTGGCAGAGATCGAGAAGCTTCGGGCAGAGGTGGACCACCTGCAGAGGAGGAGCACCGCCTTTGGGGACGGCCTGCACCCACGGTGACCGCATGCGCACTGCTTGATGTAGCCATGGCAACCTGGGGTCCATTTCTGTGCAGCTGATGGCTTTGGGCCTAGTGGGCATACCGGTCAGCACGGTAGCGATAATTCACTCATTCTTCTACTTCTCCATCACCTTCCTGTCCATGCTGGCTGGCCTTGGTTATAACCGAAAGCCTATTCCGGTTTATCGAGGCTTTATCAGACAGCAGGTGGGATTTATCTTTCGGGATTCCACCTCATATCCTTCTTGCACACGGTCCCGGCTGGCGAAGCCCCACATCAGTGGACTGACCCTCCCTCGGCATTTCGGGATGACGATGACGGCGGGGATTAACACTGCCCTGCGGCTGCTCCTGTCCCTGTCACCCTGCCCACATTCAGGTCCCGGGTTGGCAGTGCCACTGACCTGCACTTCTCCATGCTGGAGTCCCCGGGGGACCACTATGGGACGGCGGGGGTCATCCGGCGGGCGCAGAAGGGGCGGCTGGCAGCACTGCGGGATGAGCCCACCAAGGTGTCCCCTCTGTGTGCCCGTCCCTCTGTCCCTCTGTCCGTCTCCGCGTCTCCGTGTCTGTCTGCGTGTGCTGTCTTGCCCTCAGGCGTGTGCCTCCCTCCCATTGCTAGGAAACCCTGCAGCCCCCTCCCCACCCCCTGTTGCTATTCACATGCATCAGTGCACCTTGATGCTCACACCATGTCTGTGAGCACGCTTAGCGCATGCAGCCGGTGGTTCCTGAAAGCCCCTTTCCTCTGTCTCATCTCTGTCACTGGCATGTCCTCGCGACCATATGGGCTACTTATGTGAGTCAGGCGCTCAGAACATGCTTGTGGGATTAAGAACGATTCCTGGGAAGGAATCCGCTGGCCTGACCTGGACGCGTGGACAATGCTAACGGGACGTATCCCTGCTCGCTCCCAAAACAGCCCCCCTGCCCTGTGGCTTTCGCAGCTACTGTTATGACCAGCGAAAAGCCGGGCCTTTTTAATGGGCCCCCATCATCCGCCCCCATCACCCACCCCAGTCACCCTGCCCTCCTCTTGCTGCAAATACGCTTAATCGAGCCGGATGGGTGCCGGTCATCAATATGTATCTGTCACTGAACTCTATCTCTTCTTCCTGCTTCACTGGAAACGTGTGATATGTAAGTTCTGCCTCTTCAGCAACATCTGAAAAAAAAAAAAGAAACAGAAAACCTGATCTCTCTTTCGCAGTGGTGAAATAACAGATGAAATGAAGAATAAGAATCTTAAAATAAGAATCTTAGGAAAAATTTGCTTCTGGCATGAACTGCTCTCCGGAGACCAGCTAGCTGTCAAATGGCCACCATTTTGCTAAGTTTAAAGTTTTTAAAATAAAATAAAAATGCTTTAAGATGTGCAGCTACTTGTATTGTGTATAGAATTTCTTGCCATAGGGTTCAGAAGGAAAAGGTCAGGACTACAGGGTGACAAAAACACATGTGTACATGGCGTGTACAGTTAGTGTTGGCGTGTGCTGTCAGTAAGCGTGTATTGTGACTGAGTGTGTTATATCTGTCCTGGGTGTCCCTAAGGGTGTCCAAAGCAGACGAGCCAGTGTCCTTGTCCCCGCCCCCCTCTGCTATTCCCTGGGGCGGGTTTGTTGATTCTGGGGCCCCACTCAAAAGTCATTTTGCTTGCCCCCTCCAGATATTTCAAAAATTAAATTTATAGCTAGCCGGTCGAAAAATGGTAGCTAGCTATCTGGTTAGTAGAACACGCTGCTTTAGCATCTGCTAAATAAGGAACATGTTCATTTAGTATGTAGTGTAGTGACCATTTGCGATACCTGCAGATACCTGCAGATACCTGCTTTGAGTGATGGTGAACAGTGCCGCTGGCTTTCCCACCAGATCCTGCCAATGCTGGAGCAGGACTGGGAGCGGCCCAGTCTCCGGGCCGGCGTAGCACACCTTGTGGAGAGTGACCCCGAGCTGTCCGACCTGGACGATGAGGACCGCGAGACCATCTTCAGTTCTGGAGACCTGCTGTCACCCAGCGGACACTCGGACGCCCAGACGCTGGCGCTGATGCTGCAGGAGCAGCTGGATGCCATCAATGAGGAGATCCGGTGGGTGTTGCAGGTGCCATTGTGGGTAAAGACTTTTAATGTGGCTCCAGCATGTCTGTTGACCTAAACTTAACCCATGTATCCTGAGAGCTGAAAAGTGCAAGGCAAACTTTGGAATGTTCCGCTGGATCTGCTGTGCTCCTCTTTGCGTTACGGGTGTCTTCTCGTATAAACTAAAAAATTGAAAGATAATTTTAAACAAAATCTTAAGCAAAACCAGGCAAAAAAGAGACATAGTTAACATCTTGGCAAAAAATGTTCCTATGCTTTTACAGGCAATGTTTATTGACTGTAAATGCTAGCATGCTGGCTAATTTATTAAGACCAGAATAGAAGATAACAGGTGATTACTCACTAGACCACGGTTTCCCAATCCAGTCCTCGGGGACCTGCAGACAGTCCATGTTTTCGTTCCCTCCCAGCTCCTAGTAGTGAGTTGGGGGGGAGAAAAAATGCAGACTGTCTGACAGGAAGCTGGGAGGGAGCTAAAACGTGGACCATCTGTGGGTCCTCGAAGGACCGGGTTGGAAAACATTTTGTTTTTACAGTCACAACAATGATATCGTTTATCTGTCCAAAAGAAACCTTTTTCATTTCGTTGTTTTTTGATCAGTTGGAGAAAATTGATATCAGCTGTCTTGGAGGTTCTAGCAAAACAAGGAAAGAATTTGAAAACTAGGCAGTTTGCAGCAATTCAGCTTTCAGACACTGTCATGGTGGACCGGGTGCATTTCGGCTAGGATTGGCCTCACAGCTTGGTCCTGTAAAGGAGCGTGGGTGTGAAGAACTATAATATCGTTATCGTATTGAAAACATATTGACGTATCATGTCGTCATTCTCGTTTTTCATCTTTAGGGTAAATATGACACGTAACTGAATGCACAGCGACCAGACAATGATGACGCTAGGTGTAGCATGTGGTAATTATATTGACTGCGCTGATGAGATTGACTGCGCTGATGATATTGACTGCGCTGATGAGATTGACTGCACTGATGAGATTGACCGCGCTGATGAGATTGACTGCGCTGACATTTACAGGCACACCCCTTAATGTTCATCAGATTAAACAGTCAGAGGCTCTGTCAGGCCATGGTACTGCGTTTAACCTTTTCTATACAGTCATTTCACAAAAGCTCTTATGAGGCTTCAGCAATATGAATGAGATTCACGTACTGTACTGCGTGTGTAACACACTGTGTGTGAAATCCTGAAACGCTGAGCCGCTGTGAGTATCTGTGTCAGTTACTGGTGTTGTTGTGGGTCATACTGGTGGCTTCCCTTGGGCTGGTATCAACCCCAGATGTTGTCAAGCTTTGGCCCTGTGTTACACTGAGGTTGCTCTGTGTCTACGGCCTCTGCCAGGATGATTCAGGTGGAGAAGGAGTCCGCAGAGCTGCGGGTGGATGAGATCGAGAGCCGCGTGACCAGCGGCAGTATGGACGGCCTGAACCTCAACTTCCGGCCTCACACTTCCATCCCCACCTCCATCACAGCCCTGTCCCTGGCCAGCTCCTCCCCCCCGGTCAGCGGGCGCTCCACCCCTAAGCTGTCTGGCCGCTCCTCTGCCCATGAGCTGGGCATCATGACCCTGGTGAGCCCTTGTTATGTCAATGCCGCCCTCAACGGTTGGATGTCATGAGTTTTGTGTGAAGAACCAGGCGTTGTAGAACTTCTGATGAGGTTTAGGCTTTTTCCAGTTTCTCTCAACCCAGTCCTCCCAAATCTAAATGGCCTCTAAATCTCATACCCAGCTTTTGCTCCCCATGTTTCCAGCTGTTGGATAAGGTGAGATTTTCCTGCCTTACTCAGGCCATCCTGTCCAGCAGCTGTAAGATTCTGTTACATGGAAACGCCTAGAAAGAAGAGGACCATTTTATGATTGGCTTAGTGTCATTATCTCCTGAAAAGCCTTCCTTCCCTCAGCACTGTCCATACAGATGCTGAAGATGGTTGCTGTTAGAAGTTCTGGAGTTTTTTATCTGCTTGCGAGCAATCGTCATGGCAAGAGTGTTTTTCTTGGTGAAGGTGGCAGATTTCGGATGACTGCTCATGCATAATTCGCTCTGTCTCTTTTCCCCCTTAATGCTGTCAGCCTAGTGATTTAAGGAAACATCGACGGAAAGTTCAAGTAAGTGTTGCACTCTCTGCTCGTGACAATATGTACAGTAGCTTGGGGGTGTAGGAATCACTGGGGGTCGGTATGATGGCACTGTGATGGGAGATGGTGGACTCTGATTGGGTGAGGGGTGGGGCTAATGATGGCTGGAGGCGGGGTTTCTCTGAACCAACTCCTAATGTTCTGCTGCAGTCTCCAGTGTCGCGGGACGAGATGCGGGAGGACAAGGCCACCATCCGGTGCGAGACGTCCCCCCCGGCTTCGCCCCGGAGCCTCCGTTTGGAGCATGGCATATTCGCCCAGCTGACCGGTAGCCTGGATGACGGACGGGGGTAAAGGCCCTCCGCCTCTCCAGCCATCCTGGAATCTGCAGCCCCAGACACTCCATCTTCACTCCAACTACACGCTTCACCTCCACTCAGGCTCCTGTAACCTCCTGATGTCATCAGGGCCCAAAGCATAAGCCAACTAAGCAGCTGCTTAGAACCCAGCGGCCACCAGCCGCCCCCACTCCCCCCCCGTGTGTGTGTGTGTGTGTGTGTGTGGTGTGTGTAGGTGCGTGGGGTTTTGTATATATTACATTGTGGGGACCACAAACTCCCCCCATAATGTGCTAAAAACCTGTTATTTTGACATTGTGCGGACCATTTTTTCGGTCCCCACAAGGGGAAATTATATTTTCCAAAAATCTGTGAATACAATAAAAAAAACTAAAAATGCCAAAAGTCTTGTATTTTGTTTGATTATTTATGGTTAAGGTTAGGGCTGGGTAGGGATTAAGGTTGCCATTGATGGGATTAGTGGTTTTCCTAAAGAAATGAATGGATGATTCCCACAAATATATGAAAACAAACGTGTGTGTGTGTGTGTGTATGTGTGTGTGTGTGTGTGTATTAGGGCCCTGAAAGGCCAGGTGGACCTCACTTAGACCCACCCAGTTGCAGCCTGAACCTGATTGGTTAATCAACCCCCACCCCTGCCCCCTGTTACATCAGGTCACACACATTCATCTCTTGCTCCCAGTTCTGACCCATATGCCTCCTGTTCCACGGTCCTGCAGGGGCCCTCTCTCTCTCTCTCTCTCTCTCTCTCTCTCTAGCTCTCCTCCAGTTTATGGGTTCAGCGGGTGGGGGTGGTCTCCATGGTTGCAGCTTATGATTGGCCATGCTCATTGGTGTATAAAATCTAAGAGAAAGTGCTGTGGAGGCTTGTCAGTCCCTAGCATTCAGAGATAACTCTCACAGAGCTAGTCAATGTTTATTTTTAAAAAAGAGAAGCAGATTAAGGCTATAATGAGATGGAGGCTTGAGGGTAAACTGGGTTTTAAATGGTGAGAAAAATGTTGTGGTCATAGTGTGGTCATGGTGCGGTTGTGTTGTGCTCATGTTGTGGTCATAGTGTGGTCATGGTGCGGTTGTGTTGTGCTCATGTTGTGGTCATGGGCCTTTGGTGTCCAAAGCCAGTGAAGCTGGCCTGCAACAGAAACAGCAACTAGGACTCTCTGCACAGGGGCAACAAGAAGAAGGGCATCAAGTCATCCATTGGCCGCCTCTTTGGCAAGAAGGAGAAGGGGCGCTTCGTGCAGCAGTTGGGGAAGGACGGTCAGCTGACCCTGACTGTGGCTCCAGGTACCCTGGCCTTTGCGTTTCTCTGACTTTCATGTCAATCATACAGATGGATATTTTGGAATGAATTCCACTGAGATTACACATACATGTACAAGCGTACAACAGAAATCCCCCCTCTCGGGACAGGCGGCCGTTTGTCAGAGCTGTTGCGCCCCCTGCTGGCACCTGCTGGCATTGGTGATTATGCACTTACCTGGACCCAGCCACAGGCCTCCTGCATGGCAGGCAGACATTTCACAGATGAATCACCAATGCGCAGATGAACCGCAACCCGCTCACCTGCGAGTTCCTCCTCGGGCCGAGATCCAGGCGCAGGGAGCCAAATTGGTCCAGGTTTTGCCGTGCCAAGAATCCCTCCCGGAATCCGCCCACCGGTCCGCCACGGCCGCAGCCGGAGGTGTTCTCCGGTGATTCCGTAATAAGGACGGGCTTAGCAGCCCTCCGATAGGAAAGGGAGTTACCCGGAAGCAGGTAGCATGGTGTGTGTGCGTGGGTTAGGGGAGACACAGACTACGGTGGTCCTTTAAAGTATTCCTGTTTTGTTTCTGTGAGGTATGATGGACACATGGGTCACTTCTGTCCACATCACAGACTTGGAGATGGGCATTGGGGACACCATGACCCTGGGCAAGCTGGGAACGCAGGCGGAACGGGACCGAAGAATGAAGAAGAAGTAGGTGTCCCCCGCTTTTGTCTGACTGCTTTCCCGGGCTCTCCGAGCACATCGAGGCTTGCGGTGCTGGTGCCCCCATTCCCATACTGCTGCTGTTTAATAAGCTTAACTTCATTCATATGCAGATCTGCCAGGCTTCTCAGGAATCCTCACTGCCTCTGCCTCTGCCTCTCACCGCCTCGCCTCTGCCTCTGTTCCCTGTGTCGTCTTTCCTAAAGAATGCAACTCGATGGTTTTTCATTACTGCATTATTTCGAGCCTTCAAATTTAAGAGATCTCCGTGTCTCACCAACGTCAAAAGCTTTCAGAAGCACTGTAAGATTCTCATCAGGAAGTCTATATGGACCTTATGCCTGACTCATGCCTGAGCTATGATTTTTCCCCTAGGATCTCTGAAACTTCCTACGATTTTTTCTAAAAATCCCTCAATGGGTACTTATTTAAAACTCCTTGCAGCAATCTGTGTAGGTGGCACAATGTTGTATGACTTCTTAATTGATCTACATCCTGTTCCTATTTAGTCATAATTGAGAATGTCCTCACAAATTTTGTGAATTAAATTTCAAAACAGTAATCAGTCCTTTTATGCTGAACCGTGATTTCCCCTCCCTCCCAAAACTGCAGAGCCTATGTGATAAGCAATCTATAAAGAAACCCGTGTCATGTTTCTGCCTGTTAGCTGACAGTCCAGATACGATGGCAGATCACATTCATCAGGGAATTTTCAGGGCTGACTGGTCTCGCTGTCGGCACCCAGACAGTTAGATGAGAGAGGAAGTCCCAGCAAGAGCATGAGTGCAGGAGAAGTCCCACCAATTAATTGGACTGACATATGAGGGATCATAATTAAACTGGGTGATCGTAATTAAACCATGAATTGAGGCCTCTCGTTAATCCTGCTGCCTGCCTTGCCTCTGATTGATGTTAACAATAACTTATCTTACCATTCGCTGCAAAAGGCCATGCTGCTGATGAACAGAGCCTTCAGGCTCATACATCAGGTCTTATTGTTCCACGGCAAGCTGTAATTCCCCATCTGTCTTCATGTTCGGGTGCAGCATGATGTGGGCGGGGCTACACTGCAGGTTTGTTGATGTGCCGGAGCAACGACGCTGGTGACACATGCTGTCTCTTCTTCAGGCACGAGCTGCTGGAGGATGCCAGGAGGAAGGGCCTGCCTTTTGCCCATTGGGATGGCCCTACAGTGGTGTCCTGGCTAGAGGTAAGAGCCAAGAGAATTTTCAACTCCCTTTGGGGCAGGGAAGAGAAGAGTCATCCACTGTTGGGGCAGGGAAGAGAAAAGTCATCCACTGTTGGGGCAGGGAAGAGAAAAGTCATCTACTGTTGGGGCAGGGAAGAGAAAAGTCATCCACTGTTGGGGCAGGGAAGAGAAAAGTCATCTACTGTTGTGGCAGGGAAGAGAAAAGTCATCTTCCCTAGGAGCTGAGAAGAGAATAGTCGTCTGCTATTGGGGTAGGGAACAGAATAGTTATCTCCTTCTGATGTGGAAGAACTGGGCTCCTGGATAAAGCAAATGAGATCTATGGTAATTCGGATGCCTGTTTGTCCTTCAAATGAACTGATTCCAGACTGTTGACTTCTAGCACTGCTTAGCCTTTTAGTTGCTGCTAACGTAATGTCTTTGAGAGAACAGTACTGCAGTATGGCCACCCATTTCCCTCCGCAGCTGTGGGTGGGCATGCCCGCCTGGTACGTGGCTGCCTGCCGTGCCAACGTGAAGAGCGGCGCCATCATGTCGGCGCTATCCGACACTGAGATCCAGCGGGAGATTGGCATCAGCAACCCGCTGCACCGGCTCAAGCTACGGCTGGCCATCCAGGAGATGGTGTCCCTCACCAGCCCCTCGGCACCCTTAACCTCACGCACGGTGAGTCTAGGGCAGGACAGGCACTCTTCTCCCACAATCCACCTCACTGATCAGGTCTCGTCTCTGTATTTTCCCCATTTTTACCTTCAATTTATTTAGCAAGTGCTTTTATTGAAAGTGAGATACAGTTGAGAAAGCAGAGTCAGTCAGCCAGTCCCAGGAGCAATTTGGGGTTAAGGGCCTTGCTCAGGGGCCCAGCAGTGACATCACTCTGCTAACCTTGCTGCCAATCACAAGCATAGCATGCTAACCCTCTGAGCCGTATGCTGGCTGTTAAATAGGTGGACTCCGCCTCTTGAAACAGGCCCCACCCATTTATTTCTGATATTATTAAATTAATCTCAAGCCTTGCCCATCCTCACAGGCTCCGCCCATCTTCCAGGCTCCGCCTTCATTCCACCTTCCGGGAGTCATTTCCCTGGCATGTCACATATCCACTGCACATCACATTGCTATGCTTGGTCAGGCAGTGCCTTTAAATCCTAACCCCCCAATGGAAATAAGGCAACAATGTTTCCTCACCGACCTGCTAGCTAACGGGGCGTCGCTCTCATCTCCTCTCTGCGCAGTCCTCCGGAAACGTGTGGGTGACTCACGAAGAGATGGAGACCATGGCAACATCCAACAAAGCGGTCAGTGCCATCTGGGTGACACCCCCGCCGGGCGGGCATATGGGCACGCTTCCGAGTCCATTTGCATCAGACACGTGTGGTGTGTGTGACATGAGCATCTGTGTCCGTGTGTGTGCGCGTGTGTGGCTATTAGCGTATGATGTAGGTGTGTGCGTATGTATGTACACATGTGCGGCCAATAGTGTGTGGTGTGTGTGTGTGCGGCCATTAGTGTGTGACATATATGTGTGTGTGCTGTACCTCTATCTTCCATTCCCCATGTGTCTCTGCTCTCCGTGTCGGTGAGCTCCCTTCCTTCTTCCCTCCCTCCCTTCTTCCCTCCCTCCCTT